TAATATAAGGATCATTGGTTTTGTGTCAAGTCAGTGGAAAACTACTGATACATATTTAATATATAATTTTACATTAAATTAATTCATTTTCACTCTTTAGACTGTGTTATAGTTTTAACATTTTTACAACACATGAGAAGTTTGTCGCACCTCAAGAGATTTCGCTAGGGGAACGAGGTGTAAATATGCTGGCTCGTGGACAAGGAAGTGTGAATATTCAAATACGTCTGAATAATGCTTAGTCGAATACCGTACTGAAAAACATTTTGTATGTTCCTGAAGCAAGTGCCCATTTATTTTCCGAGAAAGGGTTTTTCTATAAGACTTGATGATCGGAGTGTCAACATTGAAGATCGTATCACTGGAAAAAGGGCGATGACAGGATATATGTTAGTCAGAGTAAGAAGAGTGTCCTGAAGCAGATGAACAACAACATGGAGGATGAAAGGTAGAATTCTGCGACGGATGTGCACTGGGGAAAATGCAGAGGTTGCCATTCAAAAAACGAATGAATCGACCGATGGCAACTGATGTAAAAGATGCACGTCGATGTAAACGGACCCATGTCGACAGAATCTATGGGAAAGGCACACTAATACGTGTTTTAAAGATGAGTCTAGTAAGTATTGTCGAGTTTTCTTTTTGAAGCACAAAAGTGAACTTTGCACCGTTTTGGATTAGTTTTTGAATGAAGCCAAGACGAATGGACGTGATATCGAACAATTGAGGTGTGATGGAGAAACATAATTTGATAATGTCTCTGAACTGCTAGCAAGCAGGGGCATAGAACACGTCATTACTGTGACGGTAGAAATCGAACCATTGTCGAGTGCGCGCGTTCCATCTTGAATCTAAGCAAGTGTCCAAATGAACTGGGCACAAGCATGCAATACTACCACCTACCTCCTCAATAGCACCGGAAACCATTGAAACTAAGTCTCCTTATGAATTGTGGCATGGATGACCAGTGGGAAGTGTCAATCTTTTGGATATTTTCGGAACAGAAACATGCACATCAACAATAACTTCCCCCTAAGTTTGCCGTTAAAGTTGTTCACGGACATTGGTTGGATACGTGAACGACAGGGATGGATTCCGACTCAAAGGAAGAGAGTCCTGAGCCACGAGATTCAAGCCTGAAGGTGTCTGCAATGTGCGCGTCAATACGGACAAACTTGAAGATTCATGCGAAAAACTCGCATCATCCGATGTACAAAAACCAGAAGAAAACGACGATAAAAAGGAAGAAGAAGGGAGTGAAGCTGAAGAAGTTGCACCAGAGTCCACCTCCTGAAGAAGTGACGTACCATCTGAAGATGCCAAAGAAGAGACAGCAAGAAAACGCAATCGTGAATTGAAGAAACCATTATCGATAACCAGCGGAGATTTTGTCTACATGGCCGGATCGTCGAACAATGAAAACAAGAATCAAACTCCCAAACTGAAGTGCTGCAGCCTTCTGACCGAGAAAAGTGATTGAAGACAATTAAAGAAGTATTGCCCTCCAACACACTAAAGAAAACAAAATCTCCTCATACTACTCCTGTCCTCAAATAATAAATTGTGGAGTCCCGCAAGGATCCATCCTTGGGCCAATACTATTCCTTATATACATAAATGACATGCCTTTGGCTTTAAGGAACAACAAAATAATTTTGTTTGCAAATGACACAAACATCATCATCAAAGCAAAAACACAACAATCATTAGAAAAAGAAACTCACAAAACTTTGCAAGCACTAGTAAAATGGTTTCAAGACAACAAACTCATCATAAACACCAGCAAGACAGTCTCTCTAAATTTCATGAATCCTCGATCTAAAGAAAAACTCTCACAGCATTTGCTCATAAACAATAACCCTGTAACGATATCTCATGTAACTACCTTCATTGGACTAACAATTCAAGAAAACCTAAAATGGAACACTCACATCTCAAATCTTAACAAGAAGCTCAGCAAATCTTGCTATGCACTATACGCCCTCAGGTGAAGCTCCAACATCGAGACACTTCGAACAATGTATTTTGCAAATGTGCACTCACACCTAAAATATGGAATAATATTCTGGGGAAATGCCCCTGAAAGCACTCGCACATTTATTATTCAAAAAAGAATATTGTGAACAATGACCAGCACTCATAAGCTGGAGTCTTGGAAACCCTTGTTTAATAAACTAAGGATTCTTCCTCTACCATGCATGTACATATTTGAAATAGTGGTCTTCACGAAGAAAATTCTCATGGAAAACACAGACACTTTCACTTTAAATTCTGATGTACACAATTACAACACCTGTCAAAAGGTGTCAAAACCTACCCGTTCCCTACTCTGAAACTACACTTTATCAAAAAAGTACCCTAATAGAGGGCATTACACTTTACAAGAAACTAGGCAATGATATCAAAGACATAAACACAATTCATACATTTAAAAGTAAATTGAAAGCTTTCCTGCTTAACATGTTCTACAGTGTAAAGGAATTTTCATATTACAACGTTTCCCTTAAAAAATATAAATAAATAAGAATTTCTTATCCCATTACACTTTCTGTTTCGTGTAAACTGTTTCAAGCTGAAGCAAAGAAAAAAGAACTGCATATCGCATCCTGTGAAAAAGGAGAATAGAAGAAGGAAAAAACTGGTCAAAACTTGCCTCCTCACCATTTCAAGTTATAAATATAGAATGTACTACTAATATTAAATTTGATGTAGTTGCAAACATAATTGATATGTATTATTAATGTAATTATTAATACATTAATACATATTATATTTCTAGGCCAATGACCCCATCTCGATCAGGTTTTGTTCAGTTTCCCTGGTCCTTTGAGCAAATGCTGAGAAGGCCCCTTGTTTGCTCCTGAACAGTAATGTAACTTCGCTCTCTCCACCCAAGGCATCATATTGACTCGTCATACACAATTGTAATTGTATATGTGACTCAATAAATATTATTATTATTATTATTATTATTATTATTATTATTATTATTATTATTATTATTATTATTGGATTCTTTTTAAAAAAAATGATATCTGGGTGCTGGTCGAACGTCCAAAAGATGTACATAATTTTTTAGTAAACAATCTTAAACCTTGACCGGACGGACGTTTTTCCGTCAATCAATTTTTTGGTAATAAGGACCTACAAACCATGATTTCTGGCTCCATTACGAGTTAGAGGATTTTTTTTTAAATTCAGTAACTGCATTTATCTACTTTTTCGTTATTAGGGTCCGGCAATAACAGTTTTTTCTGTTGGAAATTCGCCGTTTTTTTCTGGCAACATAACGTAACTTTCTATCTACTGCGTAAGCGGTAAGAAAGTAAAAGTAATAACTTGTTATTAAAATAGTTGAAATCAAAGCTGCAAAACTACGAAGGATTAGGGTTTACATTTTCCGTTCTATGATACAAATGTGAACAGATTAAATTTAAATAAAAACGCATGATATCGATTTACAAATTAAACATTCGCTTGCATACGAACATTACTGTCCATGACTGATGGAAGTCGAAGAAGAATTGCACAAACTATGTCTCAATCCTGTTCAACTTATTCTTTTTATTGGATTTCTTTCTCTTTTCTTCGTATTCCTTTTCGGGCATTTTTGTTCTTAGTTATTACCGCAAGGAGTGGGTCCAGCCGAACGTTTTGTAGGAGTCCATCGTAGATTTTTTGATGATATTTTTCTATTATATTTTATATTATTTTTGTTGTGTATAAATAATAATTACATAATTCTAATATAAATAATTATTTAAATCAATTTTTCAAAATAAAAGAAGGTAACAAACGAAAACTAGGATTTTTTTAGAGTTCCCCCTCCCCCTGGATCCGCTACTAATTATCATGCCATTTCCTGGCGCATGCAAGCGATCCATGCCATATCCTTCTTTCGAGCTCACTGTAATTGCGCGAAAGATCACAGCGGCCCACGACCATGCACCTAGAGAGAGACCTTACTTCGTCAACACTGTTTCCGGCTGCGTCGGACACAGTCCAATACGAGGAAGTCCCCGAAGCACCGCTTGTCCAGAGGAGTAGGAAAGACATAAGCTTTTACACGCCTCTGGAGAACAGTCAAAAGCATTTTCCGCACTTACCACTTACCATTTTTGCCATTTTATTCGTTTTAATGATTATCCGAAAATATTTTTGTTAGAAACTTACGAGCAAGTTAAAATTAATGGATCTGCGCCAGGTTTAGGTGATTTTCCGGATTGTTTGTTAACGACTTTTGCGCCTCTGAATATACACCCATAACGCACACAATTAATGTATTCGTTTGCACCGGAACAAAAACTTTCAAGTAACATTTCCAGATACATTCAAAACGGCAAAGATTAGGCCGCTGTCAAAAAAGACAACCAAAATGAAATTCAAAATTATCAGTCCATTTATGTTTTGTCAGTTTTCTTTAAAACATTAGATACTTTTGTATGAATGAATGGAAACCTTTCTCAGTGAATATGAAGAGAGTTTGGATTGCCAACTGGATTTAGAAAATCAAAATCAACAGAAACCGCCCTATTATTTTTCCTTTATCAGTGGACCAAATGCTGGATTTAAATGAAGCAGGCAGTGCCGTGTTATCACATGGGCCCGCGTATCATTGGGTAATATTTATGGAATGTTGTTGGTAGATGCGAGAATGTCACTGTGATGAGAAGTTTTTGTTTTAACAAAACTTGTCTTTAAATTGAAAGCGGGAGGGAGATCGGTGAAAATAAGAATGGGGGGGAGGGGTCTCTCAAATTAACTTATTAATAGGTCCATGTGCCCCCAATGCTGTTAAAAGGACCCTGGAAGCAGGTAAACCCGATGCCAATTAAACGATATATTTAAGTTTGGAATGGTAATGCAACAATTTTCCTCTTTTTACAACTTTGTAAATGAAAGTTTAAAACATCTTTCTTGTCCGTACAGTATCTTCTTGCTGTTGTATCCCTTGTATGTCGCGGAACATCTCGTTTAATCAGCGCCCTCTGGAAACCTCTGGTTTCTCCAGAGAGCGCTGCTTCGATTTGACAGGAACAAGAGAAAAGCGAAACGCCGTAAACACAAACGAGGACCTTCACCAGGATTCTGATATAACCACAAAAGTGTTATTTGTTTATATTCAGAGTGTTGTATGTTTCAAAGTAAAAAGAAGTAGATCTGATAGTGGAAAGTGTACCATATTGCATCAGTGTTATTTTATTGGTTACGTGTAGTGTTCGTTTCGAAATTGAATTGTTTTGTAAAGAACAAAAATGGGGAAAAGACAGCACCAAAAGGACAAAATGTATGTATTATTTTATAGTATAGAGATTCTTAGTGATAACTAAAGGCTTCTTATTAACGTGCTTATTATATTAGGTATCTCACCTATACTGAATGGACAACACTGTATGGTGGTAAAAAATCAGGACCTGAAACGTCAAATTTTCGAAGATTGCCCTTTGACCACTGCTGTGTCTCATTGCAACCGTTTGTTAAACCCTACTGTGATAAGCATGGCAATATATTTGAGTATGAAGCTGTTTTGGAATATCTTGCTAGATTTAAAACAAATCCTGTGAATGGAGAAGTAAGTATTATGGTTTGACATCTGAGAAACTCAGCCATTAATATTTTTTGTCGGTTTTTATTTACTTCACATCTTTTATAGCCCTTAGATTCCAAATCATTGACAAAGCTGAATTTTTATAAAAACACAAAAGGTGAATATCATTGTCCAGTATTATACAAGAACTTTACGAAGCAGTCTCATATTGTTGCAATACAGACTACAGGAAATGTGTTTTCATTTGAGGTGAGTAGTTTTAATATCTCGTTAAAACTTCTTGTATGCCACCATTTACATTTGTTTAGGCACTGTGGTGAAAATTTCTTTTTGTAAATTTCATAACTACCCATTGTAAAATTTTCTTGATACTGTAGAGACCACTGTTAACTGAAGTGGTTGAGCTGATATCCCTTCAGACAGTAGGAACAATAATTAATTATGTTGGTTTTACAGGCTGTGGAGCAGTTGAATCTCAAAGCCAAAAACTGGAAAGATTTGTTAACTGATACACCATTTCAAAGAAAGGATATTATTACTATTCAAGATCCTACTAATTTGGAAAAATTTAATCTGAGCACTTTTCATCACATCAAAAATAATCTCCGAGTTATTGATGAAGGTGGGTGTTTGAGTTTTTAAGAGAAGAATTAATACACTCTGCAACTCAAAATTGTATTAACGTATTTCGCAGGTAAAGGTACGAATTCTTTATGAGGTGTATCTTCGTTTTACCCTGCCCTGTCCCACTTGCCCCAATACACCTCAATCTTCCCTGTCATGCTCTGCCCTGCCCTGACCCAGCCCTTTCCGGTTATGTTATTCTCACCCTGCCCCATCTCCCTCAACCCTGCTCCACCCTTTCCCTTCTAACCTTCCCCTATCCTGGCTCATCCTTCCTCACCTGGCCTACCTGCTCCTCTGTGCTCTGCCATCGTTGCTTTGAACAGCTCTACACAGATGTGTGGCATACTCTCACCAAACTTCTTGTAGTAATTTTGTCCTGTGAATTTTTTCAAGGCTAATGATAGTATTGGAATGAGTCACAATGCGTTCAATAGGGAAATTTATGAGATTTCAGAAATGTTAAATGTTCTCACCGTCTTTGAGTTATTTGCAAAAAAAAAACCCAGAAAGAGTGCTTACTTACATTTTTCTGGAAGGAGTAGGAAAGGTGGATAGGAGTAATATTTACAAAATTGCATACAAACAACTTTTCTCTTGTTTTGAAGGTCTCATGTATAATTAAGATTGAAATACAACAACAAATCTTTATATATAATAATTTTAAAAAAGTGTAGTCTACAATACACTACATTTCAATGTTCCAGCAGTTCCAAAATCAATTCAGTCATTCCAGAAATTGGCCCAGATAGACAGACAAAAATCATGAAAACAATATGACTCAATAAAAATTGAAAAATATGAAATACAATTTTTTTTTTATTTTTCCAAGGTAGGCAGCTACCTTAATGATATTAAAAAATACCATTATTGTGTACCAAGAGGTTATCCAAGTATTTTTCATAAGAAGTCAGGTTAATCGAAAGATTAAAATTGACAAAACCTATATATCACGTATATGTTTACATCACTTATCGGAATGTGTGTATAAAGAATCTAAAGTAATAAAGGATACAAACAAAGCCTAGCATTTATTTGCAAACATAAAATATAAAATACTGAGTAGAACCAAATTAATAGATTATATAGGCTCTCCAGAGTTGAATTCAAAGTATACATTGTGAGTATAATCTTCCAATCTTCTTGCATATATGAGACATGTAAGACAGTTTTCATATTAATATTGTTATTCAATCAAACTGTACATTGAACATGTAATTAAAAATAATAAAATGGAATTTTTCCTTTATTAGATTTAATTTTTATTTTCTTTTAAATTTTTTTTTACAGAAGCAGAGAAAGAATCAGCATCAACTCTGAAAACAATATCTATAGAGACTCAAGAAATTTTGGGTGAATTGAGTAGAGAATACAAAGCTCCAGAAGTAAAAGAAGAAGAAAAGAAAAAAGCTGATAAGTTCAATGCTGTTAGTATATTTTATTATGAAGTCTGCGATATATTTTAGTATCTTATTTTTGGTGGCCTTTCTGTGAGGATTTTGCATCCTCCCTCCCTTTATTCCTTGATGCAAGTTGTTGTCTATTTCAAATGTGCCCTGTAGTGCCAACGAAAGCAACCCAAGAGCTACTATCAGTCAGTTCACATTGGTGAATAACTTATACTCTGCAAAGCTCCCCAAATTGTTTTGTAGATGTAACTTGAAGGTCTGAGGGGGTTAGAGACATTTCAGTGTTTACTGGATGTTTTTTTTATTTCATTTTACAATGTTTCAGATGCTGTGAACAATCCCATATCAAATGGTATGAGAACATTTGTGTCTGAAAATCCAGGCCCATTCTAACAGCATTGGGGACTCGTGGACCTACGTTAATTTGGGGGGGCTGTATTTTTTACTTTTCCCTCTCCCAATTACAATGCTGAAATATAAAGTAAATCCTTTCGATTCACATGGTATTTTGTATCTTTTTAAATATTTTGAAAGTATTTGTTATTGTTTCAATTTGACATTATTCAAACAAAAAATTTCATTGTATATGTGTAAGTAAGTTGAAATAACAAGTTTATAATTTCATGGAAAAATACCACAAATTAAATTGTTTTAATTTTGTATTGAATTGTACAATATTAACTGAAATGCATCAACCAGCAACATTCCACGTTATAAATACGATCTAATGATGCCTGTCACATCACTACATTGTGCCTATTTTTTCGCATAGAGTTTAATCATAAATCGATAGAGGGTTGTTTTATTTATTTATTTTTTCTTTCCGGAAAATTTAGTATTAAATATTTTTTTTAAGAACTGTTGGGGGAGGCCTTAGGCCCCCTAAGGTCCTAGACCCCCTAAGGTCCTAGGCCCTTTGGGCCTGCACTTTTAACACAGCACTACTAATATCACTTGATAAGGAGTTGTACACAGCATTAGAAACATCATGAACTGGCATGAAGTGAATTAGAAAACACTAAACATAGGTACGTTTTTGACATCCCAAAGACCTTAACTATAAAATAATGTGTATGCATGTTGAAGTAGCCAGAATACAGATGCTAGGGGTACAGGTGATGATAATGAATTTGGCAGCTGGGGGTGAAGTACATACACCTGTGAAAATACCACCATCCACAAAAACAAGTTATGTAAATGAATTTCAATTTTGGTTGTTTGTAAAGAATAGAATTAGACCTGTTGTGACATAATTACATACGCTGTTTTAGGTTTCTGGATCTCATCTGTGAAAGTAAAAGTTTGTTGTGAATATTTATTTTTATTGATATTATTTCATATGTCAAGGATACCAGAATATAAACATTTGTCCCAGAAGAATTGTTTCCTTTTGTTATGTATGTTGGTGCTTGGTGTGTGTGTGTGTCTGTTTGTGGGTGGGTGAGCACGCATGCATGTCTGTGTGGGTCTCGTAGCTGAACTTATTTGCATTATATAGTTTACAGATTACCTGAAGAATGAGAAGTTCCATTTTCAGTATTAAGTAAGAGCAAGAAGTTTCTAATTTTCATAAAATAATAAAAGCTACTTAATCTCATTAGTCATTGATTTATCCATTATTATCATGCAATTGAAAGGAAGTTTTTAAAGAAAAGTCTAAATTTGTTTGTCTCAGTTTAAAATTAAGTTGTTTTTTTTCTTTTTAAATTAAAATATTGTTGGTCGAAAAGAAACAAAAAATGGTCATTTTTGAACTGTAGATTTCTTGAGCAGTTATTTAATTTTTCCCTTAGTTTTCCATCTTGGTTAAGCAGTAAAACATGTTGCCACTTGGCTGTCCAGGAGACATCACATCCTAGGCAAAGGTGCGAACATTTCGGTTGCTGTTCTGTGACCTTCCTGAGAGTGAAATGCGTTTTGCCCTTCTTACATTCTGCAACCTTCCTCCGGGCCAAATGAATTTCACCCTGAGGAAGGTTTTAGAATTGCGGCCGAGATGTTGGCATCTGTGCCTAGGATGCAGTGTCTCCCTGACAGTCAAGTAGCTGTGACCTCTGGATGCAGAAGCCTACGCTCTCAGTAAAACAAGTTGGTTGTGAAAGATAATAGTCATATTATATTTATTTGTTGATTAACATAAAGTTTAGATAATTTCAAAGTCTGTTGTGAGTTCGGATGGAAATGTTTTACAACTATTGTTCAAATATAATTTAATTTGAAGTTGAAAGACACTAACATTTAAGTGCTCAAAGTATCAAATTGTTTCAATTTGTAGGCACATTATTCCACTGGTGCTGTAGCAGCTGGTTTTACATCCACTACATTAGCTCCTGAAACTAAACATGAAGCTGCTATAATTGCTGAAGATTTAGTGAAATACGATCGTATAAAGAAGAAGGGTAAGAAAGCCTTAGTGAAAGTCTGTATTATGACACAATGAAAGTGATTTTGTTTCGTTTGTAGAATTGTGCCACTTGGTCCATCAGCTTCATGTTGCAACATTTCCTAGTCACAAAATAAAATGCCACTTTTACCTCTTGTATTATAAATAACTATTTTATTTTATTTTTGTACTTAGAACAAAATGTTGCTGTGAACTATAGAACTTCTACTTTAAGTATAAATATATAGTTTTAGAAATAATCTGTTTTTCTCCTTATTATGTGTTTTTAATTGAGTATTTTTGATATTAGGATATGTGAGGCTTGTTACAAATGTGGGATATCTTAATATAGAGTTACATTGTGATATGGTGCCAAAAGTGTGCGAAAATTTTATGAAACTTGCCCAGAAAGGATATTACAATGGTACCAAATTTCATCGTTCCATAAAAAATTTTATGGTGAGTAAACTGGAAAAATGTAAGGCTTTTTTTTAACATAGTTTTATTGCAGAAGTGAATTCTGATTTGTTCTATTTGTGATAAAAAAAGTTAGTATTACAAGATCTCAACTGTTATATTTCCCAATATCTTCTTCTTCTTCCTCTTTTCTTTTTCTTCCTCTTTTTTCTTTTCCTTCTTTTTTCTTCTTTTTTTTTTCTTTTCTTTTTCGTCCTCTTTTTTCTCTTTCTTCCTCTTTTTTCTTTTTCTTCCTCTTTTTTCTTCTTCCTCTTTTTCTTCCTTTTTTTTCTTCTTCCTCTTTTCTTCTTCTTCTTCTTTCTCTTTTCTTCTTCTTCTGCATTGCCCTCTTTTGTGTTCTTCTCTTTTTATTATTATCCTCCAGAGCATTCTCCTCTTCAATTCTAATTTTTTCAAAATATTTGCTAATCACATCCATTGTATTTCAATTGTGTCCTGCTTTCAGTAATGTAGCATACCTCATGATTGCGAGCACTGAAGTCAATTTTTATATCATATTCCATTTCAGTCAATGCCATTAATTATATATATACTGCAAAAATTTGACAAAATCTTGAGAAGGCAAAAAAAAGATAAAACATGCATTACACATATGTTGTTATAGTATGTTTTTTAATTGTTTATTCACATGCTCTAAAGTGCTTGTGGATAACCAACCAACATGCACATAATGACTTGTTTCCCCTACTTGTAAAATAAATAATTATTGCAGTGAATCTTCATTTATACGTTTTGCTCTTAAACGTTTTTCACGTAATACATTTCTTTTTGGAGGTCCGGGATAAATTCCTATGCATCCCATGCTAAATTTCTTCAGATATGTGTTTTATATTTTTACGCATGTACGTGGCATATGCCTGGCGGGCCAATGCTTGATCCAAGTTTGTACTAAGTAACAAGTGGTGTACTTAAGCTTCCTTCACAATCTGTTTTTTGTCCAGTTTCTCTGATCCATTGAGAAATTGTGCTTTTGTACATAAATGTACTTTCACTGTGTACACATTTTGTTGAGCGTACCTTTTGCTAGTAGTGGTAGGAGTACAGCAAAACCCAACTTTGCAGTTTGTTTAATGATGCAAATAAGTTTTCTATAACTCAGAAGCAAAAATGTCCATTATACAAAAGTTGCTAACTTTGCCTTTTTTTGAAGCTTCTATTCATCATTTAACTATTGATAGTTAAAATAATGGGAAGAGATTCTGGAGCTCAAGAAAACATGTGCAGATAGTACTTCTCCCCTACACGTCACATGCAGTTTTTACTGTTCTTTGACTAAATAAATCAAAAGTAATTTTGCCAGGAGAACCTGCGGTCAGGTCCAAGAGTGGAGCACACATATTTTAAAATATTGAGCTCATAATATTCAATTTTAGTTCTATGTTTTTCTCACTTATACATTTTTTCCCATCAGACCCCTGAAAAACGTGTAAGTTTTACTTAATTTGTTTTAAGATTAATTTAAATTAAATTTTAAATGAAATTAATATAAAAACTTGGCCAAATTTTAATTCACAGCAATGAAAGTTTGAAATTTGCTAAATTGAAATTGTTTACATACAGATCTAACAGCCATTAAATCTCCCATCTGGGAACCCCAGGGTTCTAACAGCACCAAGTCCTTAGCCAAAGGGATATAAAGCAAAAACTGACTGGCTGAAGATTACCGTATAACTTAACTGAGAATTACTCTACTTTCAATGCCAGTAAATGGTTAACAGAATGTTGTTACAAAAAAAAATAACAGAATTTAAATAAATTAAAAAAGAAAAAAACAAAAACAACCTCTTTCTGTCTGTGGTCAATGCTAGTGGGTTCAGATGATTTTCTCCAAATTTGATAATCCTTAATCGATTTGATCGAACTTGAGGCCTTGTGAATTTGAAATATGAAATGAAATATTTTAATTTTTTGGGGGCACCTTAGGTGAAGCCTATTATTAATTTAAAAAGTTTTCTTAAAAATGGATCACATTTTTTTTATTAAACTTTTTCCTCGGAGCTTAGAAAACATTTAAAGCAATGGAATAGGTCTCATTCTCATTAAAATCCCTGATTTTTTGAAAACTGCTGAAGTTCAAAATATTATTTGGCATTTTTCTACGACTACAATAGTGACAATAGAACCTTTTTTGTTAATGGAATATGTTCTTTAAAGATAGATCTTGAAGTGAGGTCAGGTACAAATTTTCGATAATATGGGTAGTTTTTGTGTAATTTTGAGTGAAATGGTAGAATTTTTTTCTCTCTCAAAAACAGCTCCAAATGTTTTCTTTAAATTTTCATATGCATCAAAGGATGGTAAAAAAACAAATCTGGTCTAATTTACAGCGAACTCTATATTTTTGAAAACTGCAAAATATTGACATGGCCAAAATACAATACTCAAGGTAGAGATTTTTGTCATAAATATTCTAAATCCAATCAGATCTTTAAAAACGCTCATGTACGTTTTTTGCAAGAAACTAGTCATTTTCATGTAATGACTGCTAGAAGTTAAAGCATATTATAAAAAAAACCTTTCTCAAGAATTGCCCCAAATTTGTTTAAATTTTTTCCACAGAAAGAACAAGAGATGTTTAAAGGAATGGCACAGAGTTGAACTCAATGAAATTTTGAAAATTGTCAAAGTTTGAAACAATGCAAGAAGGTGCATACTATTATATCACCACAAGTTTAGTAGTTGGAAATAGCTTGTGAAGTTTGAGCTTGGGGAAGAATGAAAACTCAAGTCTGAAACTAATTAGCTGAAAAGAGATTTTTTTTTTCTTTTAATGTTGATGAATGAAAGAGACAATGGGTACTCGTCATTTTTTGAATGTGATCTCTTGTGGGTCAAGTTGGCCAAATTTGTCTTATTTTGGAACATGAAGGAAAGAACTCTCCAAAGAAGACACCTTTCAAATAAGCTTCCTGATTTAACCCTTCTCCCCTTGCAACTAATTTATTGAAGCTCTTGCATGAAAAGATTTGAGACTTACTAACATAAAGAAGACCACTGACAGATGGAAAATTAGAATTCTCTCGAACCATATTCGTGGAATTTTAATTAAATCTTATATTTATTTCTCTTGGAAAAGTTCCATTTGTTGGAAATCATAAACAATAACATTCTGTAAAAGAAACAAAGGAAATAAATTTTTAAATGTAAAGCTGTGTATTTTTAATACCAGCTTGAAAAAATACACACCCATGCCTAAACCAAAATGGGTGGGATAATGTATCCTTTTTGATGTGTAGATTCAAGGAGGAGACCCTACTGGCACTGGAGAAGGTGGGGAATCAATTTGGGGAAAGGCATTTGCTGACGAATTCAAGCCAAATCTTACACATACTGGAAGGGGCATTCTGTCTATGGCCAACAGTGGCCCCAATACCAACAAATCACAGTTGTAAGAACTGATTTCAAGTTTCTTAGTGTTTACTTTCAGACAGCATTCAAATTATTGTGTTCATAATGTATATATTTTTTATTTTCTTTTTCAGTTTCATTACATTTCGATCATGTCGACATTTAGATAACAAGCACACAATTTTTGGTCGTGTTGTTGGCGGTCTGGATACATTGTCAGCTATGGAACGTGTAGAAACTGACAACAAGGATCGACCTATTGAAGATATTATAATTGAAAATGCCCAAGTTTTTGTGGACCCTTATCAGGAGGCTGAAGAAGAAGTAAGTTAGTTGCAGTGAATTAGGGGTTTGTGGTTGTGTATTGATATGTTACTCCACCACATTTTTTGCCAAGTATGTCTAAATATTTAACTTCAACTCTGAAATATTGTAAATATAATTTTTTATTTGACTGCTATACACATTTTATTATGTAATCAGACCACTGCATATAGTTTAACATATAGTTATACTGTTGTAGTATAGTAGAATACTGATTTTCTGACTAATAATAGTTTCTTCTTCTGAACTATACTTTTTTCTTATATATTAATAATCAATCCCACCTACAACTTTTAAGTTTATCTTGGTTCTGTACTTATACATCCAACTACTTTTTAATTAGTTGCTATTAATCATGATACAATTTTCTGAAAAATAATTGCTTCTACATTCTACACAAAGCCAGACTTGGATTCTTTTGTAAAGAACACCACCATTGATAGGTAATACAGACCATAAATATTTTCCATGCTTTGTTATAAACTTCTTTTGAGAAAAGTTTTCTCCTATTAATCACAATGAAGCAGTAGTTTGTGAACACATTTATACAGAGTATTTTCAAAAATTGTAACTTCCATTACTCCGTGGTTGTATTTTTCTTTCAATTTTAGAAATAATCATGTCTGCTTTTTACAAATATAATACTTCTTTGCAAATTATACAGTACTTTTATTTTGTCTGATTTTTAGCTTGCAGCTGAGAGGGAAGCAGAAGCTAAGAAACGGGAAGAAGCTGCTCGTGCTCCAAAAATTCTTCCAAGGAGTACTGATGGGCCTTTAAAAGTATATAGGTCTGGAGTAGGAAAATACATTAATATGAATAAAAATGAGAGGTGAGCTAAATATCTTTTCAAAAAATTTTAAATGATTTCAACATTTGTTTTTAAAATATATAATTGTGAAAATTTTTCTTTTTTCTAATAAAAATGTTATAAATAGTGAACCTCAGCCAGAACCAGCACCTAAAAAGAAGAAAGCTTTGGGATATGAATTTGGCAACTTCAGTAGTTGGTGATTAATCAAAATATACAGAAAGGAGGATCTGAGTTAGAGACAAATCTTGATCTCGTTCTGTTTACAATTCCATGTAAAAGAAAGACATTTGATTTGCAAATGGTCTCATGCAAGAATTCCTTTCACTAAACAAAAAGGAATGAGATGGTCTCAAAGTCATGAGACAAATTAACTTAGATGTACTTATGACATGATGTTCATAAGTATGTGATTCCAGCTGCCATGCTGCTGATCCAGCAGCATATACTCACTCATTCTCCCACATCAGGCGAGACGTGTCTTTGTACCTGTAGCCACAAAACAAACACAAAAAATGTCTGTTGTATATATTCAATGCATTGTAATTAATTTCATTATAATCAATTTTAAATCATTGTTACAAATATTTTACTTGTTTGAACCTTAAGGTTACAAAATTTAACCCTTGAGAAGGTGTACAGGCCCAAAGGACATGAGGAGGTGAACAGGGTTAGAAGACCTTGGAATGTTGTCTTTTATACGTACAGATGTGGTCTTCAGATGCACTTATGAATATTTGGAACTCAGAAAACCCATTTTATTCTTATTTTGGAACTTATTCCAACACCTTAATAGAGTTTAATTTCTCCAGACTATGTCCTTATATTAACAGACTGTTTGGACAAGCACTGACAATGCATAAGAAGTTCAGAAAAATTGTAGCTGACCTTCTTTCCACATTTACAGAAAAATTTAATTTGTTTTTTGAAAAGGAGGGCTTAAAACATATTCACCCTTAGTTGAATACTTTTCAGCAGAGGCAAAAATTATGGTTATTGTTTAGTTTCAGGGTTCTGATGCGATTTTCACTTATCTTGTTTCATGGTATCAATGTAATGGGTTGGAAAAGAGAAGTGTGGATTGTCATAGCTGACATAGAACAGCCAGAGTATTTTAGTATGCATATCCAATAAATTTTATAACTCATTATTAATATTTTAGGTCAAAGTTCAAATGTTAACTCGCATCTGTTGGCAGGATGTTATTGTATTTATAACCTCAAACTTGTAAAATGGATTCATGCCTTGCTATATATGCCCACTTTCATTATGAAGCTTCAGCTTTCAGGGTATGTCATTAACATAAGATATCTTTAGTCTGTCCAACACATAATTGACATGGAACATTGTTCGAACAAGTTTTTGTTAATGACACCTTTGTCAATATCTTTATTTCCCACAAAATTCACTAACATCATCTAATTAATTGTCATTAAATGCTGTGTACGTAATTATCTTACAGTAGTCAAAATAACTTAGACTTAAGTTTTGGTAGGTTGGCAACATATTTCATCCTAGGAAGGAAGAATTCCATCTAAGGTCCCTGTAAGTAAACTTCAGCCAACATGAGCTCTACATACTCTTTTGAATTGAATGCCTTTTTCAATTCCTCTGTGTAATATGAAGAACATTCACTAAACACACATTTTGAAAGTGTTTATGAATATTCAGCTCAATGATATCTTGCCAAGAATTGCATCACTGCACCAAACTCTAGATTCAACATAGTATGAATGAATGTTCATAATGATGCACAGAAATGTGAAACTGACTTATGGCATTACTTGTTCTTTTTTTGCTAAGCTTCCTGTGTCATTTCACTATGAGTGAAGGAAACAGTTCAAACAGATAAATGGCCTTAAGGAAAAAAAGGTTGTTTTTTAAATTTTATGTTCTTCCTGTGAAAACAGAGAGTTCAATTCTGTTCAAAATATAATTATTTTTCAACAATTTTAAAAGCTATTTATACGCTCTTTCTTTCTAGACTCATATTTTGTATTTACATTTTATTTTGTGTCACAAACTACTGTCGTATTGAACAATATTTGCCATTAGACTAAAGAGCATGGAAGTGCACATGAAGTGTGAAAGATAGCAAACCAATCACAGTATTTTTAGCAACTACATAGGTGTTCTGATCACAAGTGTTGTTTACTGCTCATTCTTCATGTCAGAACAACATTGTAAAATTTAAAAAGGTGTTGTTTCATGTTTGAAGAAAATTAAAATGCAGCCGAGTCCCCATCACTCATCTTTGATTTTTGTTGATACAATTTATTTTTCAGTATTCCAATATTTGAGGTTCTTTTTCTTTGTTACATATAACAATGCATTGTAAAGAGTGTTGACATATTTGCTTTCAGAAGCACACTCCTGTAATTATATTTATATGCACAAATATCAGAAAACATACCCTTCTTATATCTTTAATTTATATTGGGATGCATAATTTGTTGTCTAAGATAGTTCTATGATGATGTGAAAGTATGCTGAGAAAATATTAATTTAATCTTTCTTTGATGTTACTAATTTAAATTTCATGAGCCCCAATTGAAAATTCATTTTTATTTCTTCACTTTCTTCCTGAAAATACAAAATAAAAAAGCATACATGAAAACTCAATGCATTTATTGTTTTCCAAAAATCTTTGTATTTTTTACTTTCTCTTTACTACATAATTATGTAAAGAGAAAGTATTGAAATACAGCAAGAATTAGTGATTTTTCAACAGGAAAATTGGTATTGTAGGGTTCTGGTAACAAAAAAAGTGGATAAATATTTTTCTTGTATGTAGTAAATGAATTCCTCTTGAGTAATAACAATCTGTGTTTCATGGGTTCTTGATATAAAAAAATTGATATGTGAAATATTGATGTGGAATAGTGAAATGTCAGGCTGTGGTTGTGGTCAACACTAGCGCCTAAACCATTCAGACGATTTTCTTCAAAATTGATATTTCCCAATCAATCCCAATGACCTTCAGGCCGTGTATGTTTAATCCAGATATTTTGATGAAGAGAGTGGTATTTTGTGTCTACCTATACATTTAAATTCATTATTATTGTATGATATCAAAATATTAATTATGATTAGTTGTTAAATTTGACTTTTTGACACATCATAACAATAATGTAATGTAATTAATGTAAATGTTCCAGAACTGGAAGTAGTTTTAATTACATTTTGTAGACATATTTACCAATCTTGGTAAACAGAAGATTGTTTTACAAAACTGTTTCCTCTTTTAGAAAAGAAACTTACAAATTTTTGTTTATTTTAAATGGAAGATTGCTATTCTTAGCAATCCTATTTGGAATGTGGATGAGTTATGTATTGGTATACAGGTCATTCCAAGTAAAATCATACGAACTTTTATCGACACTCCAAATTACCTGAAAACGCTCATAGCTTTTCATTTTCATCTAAAAATAAGGAGAAATGTGCTTATTTGTTTTAGTTCATTGAATTTTCATTTATATTTCATATAACAGCATTTAGCTGTTTTTGTCCCTGTTCACTGAGCACTAAGAAACAAAATTGTATTAAGTTGTAAAATTAATACAAACAATAGATATTTTATAATTTCGAATGCATAGACACATAAACTTTTGTTATAAATCACTAATTCTCAAAAATGCTCACAATACTCTCAAAAACGAAGAAAACTATTCATACTTTGTAAACGGGTAATATATGAAATGATTTTAAAACGTTTACTGAGAAATGAATTCCGGCAAGAGTGTTGTGGAGCTACAACAGTATCTACTTCCTCGTATTATTGGCAATGGTTAGGTCATATTACTATATATCACCTTTTACTTACTTTTTTTTGCCATCTCTTAAAAAATCCAAACATACGAAGTTGCAGAGTTTAAAAAACTACACCTATATCTCTCTCTTTTTAAAATAAAAGTTTAAATGAAAATAGCATTTCGTGGAATTTAATGACGTATTGTCATATTCTTGAAAGTGTTACTTATATTTTCGTGATCCTCCACCGAAAAAAAATTCATTGAGGTTGCCTTGCAGAAAATTTTTTGGTGCATTATGAAATTTATTACAATAATGTGATTCAGGAAATACTTGTTACTAAATATTAATATTATGAGTATGTGTAATTATTTTGTTTGATTAATTCTAAATTTTAATCAATACATGATTTTTTTGTATTTGAATTTGCAACCATGTCTTACTGCTAAAACAATTTGTACCCCAGAAATACTCTACCGTTTTAACCTTCTAAAATGTTAATATTAATAACAAATACACCTAGGGAGTACACGACCTTGCAGTTGGTGGAGCTTTAAGCCTGAGAGCTATGTCTGAGGTAGCATAGCTACTGGTAGGGCCTTTCGTGTTGAACAGATTGAAGGTGAGGGGTCAGACAAAGAAGTACTGCTGAGGAGAACCTCAACGGATCATCGAAGAAGAAAGGTTTAATGATAGCGGAAGAGGCATCTCCAACACAACCGCAGCTGTAAACCAACAACCGCGTATGTCTCCATGTTATAAGCGGCAGGATCCACAGTAGAAATAGTCTGTTAAAAAAATACGCGGACTGTTTGAACAGTCCGGCTCGTTGATTTCAAGAGAATCCGCTTGGTGTCTCAAGGTTTGCACGTATCTGCTGATTATGAGACCATTTCCCGATTGTCGATTACTTCATTTGTTTATTAGCTACGTGGTTTTTAGTGAAGTACGATTTTTTCGTTTAGTGGATTCGAAAATGAATCACCTGAAACAACGACTAGCTGTGAAATTTTGTGTTAAACAGGAAAAATCTGCGACAGAAACTTTGCTATGTTTACCACGACTTATAGTGAGGTTGCTATGAAGCGTTCGGTATGTTTCAAGTGGCATGAACGTTTTAAAGATGGGCGGCAGTCCAATGAAGATGACCTTTCTGGACGTTCTTCCACGTCAACTGACGACCCACACGTTGACAATATCACTACCCTGGTACAAACAATTCGACCTCTGTCAGGAAACTTGCTGAAGAGTGTGAGATATCAGAGGGATCTTGCCACGAGATTTTGACTGAGAAATTGAAGAGGCACCGCGTTGCTTCGAAATTTGTGCTACGCCTGATGACGGAGGACCAATATGCCCTACATATCCTGCTTTGACACCATCAGCTAGATCGTTCAGAAGAAGATAAAAACTTATTTTCGAGCATCATAACAGGTGAATAATCATGGGTTTATGGTTATGACATTGAAACGAATGTCCAATCGTCTCAGTGAATGAGTGAAACGTCTCCCAGTCCCCAAAAAGCTCGGCGAGTTCGGTCCAAAATCAAGATGATGCTGTCAGTTTCTTATGCTAAGGATGTTGTTCACTACGAGTACCTTCCCGAAGACTCGACAGTGGACCAAAATTACTATATTGAGGTTCTGAAACGTCTGAGGGACGCCACCCGTCGCAAAAGACAAGAAATGTGGAGTGACGACTGATTTTTCCATCATGATAACCAGAGTCAGCTCTCAGAATTCATGAGGTTTTGGCCTAACACTCGATTACTGTTCTTCCTCACCCTCCTTTCTCGCATTACCTTGTGACTTTTTATTGTTCCTCTAACTCAAAAAACCCTTGAAAGAAAAAGAAAAAAGATTTGAGACGATTTCCGAGATTATGGCAAATGTGGAGAAGGAACTGCGGGATAAACATCTACAAATCAAATAATATTGATATTATTACCAAATGATAAATATTTTATAAAAATTTATAAACATTTTATGCAGAAATCTGGGAAGAAAGCAGATCCTACAAAAATGATGCATCTGGGCTTTAATTTTATGCTGCCGATGAACTTGTGGAACATGTTCACGAATTATCGGAAGAGTATCTCTTCCAAGCAAATAAGAGCATATTAAATCCCCTAAGATTAATAAGATCCAGAATTTTTGGATTAAGAAATTAATAGCATTACATTCTCGTCTAGCAAAGTTTGTTAATAAAATTTTAGAAAACCTAAAGGAACTCCCGGAATTGTTCACACGCGGCATCACTTATTTGCTACGCGGGGGACAGTTCTTTGGCGAAAAACTACAGACCAATCACTTGACTGCCAGCAATGTACAAAGGTACAACTGTAGCCATAGCTAAGAAAATGTACATAGAGGTAGAGAAGAACCATCTGTTGCCAGTTGAACAGAAAGGATACCGTAAAGGTTCCTACGGCTATACGGAAATCTTGTTACGAAATAAAGTCATCGCGAATGATATAAGAAAATGAAAATGTAATTTAAAAATGGTTTTGATTCACTACCAGAAGGGCTTTGACAGTGTACCACACGATAGGATTTTGAAGATCCTGGGGATCTATTGATTTCATCGTAGACTTATTGAGTTTTGCAAGGTTAGTATGAAGTCATGGAGTACCAGTTACTAATACTCAAAGGAAAGAAAGTAATAGAAACAAGAAGAATTCAGATTAATAGGAAAATTTTCCAAGGATATTCGCTGTTCCCTCCGCTGTCTTGCGTTCGTTTGATCCCACTATCTAAATAGTCGCACAACGATTTTGGTTGACCGACTTGGTGATGAAATATCAGGAACACATTTGTTGTATATATATATATATATATATATATATATATATGATTTTAATGTGTTTGATAAGATATTACGAAGCGATTCTCTTCCAAATGATGTCCGCCGTCAATAATTTTAGCAATGATCACTGCATGAAGTTTGGTCGTGACAAGTGTGCAAAAAACAATTTAAAGAGAGGCAAAATAACGTCAGAGAACATTGAAGTTGATATGCACATTGTGATTCAAGAGCTTGTACCAGGTAAAACCTACAAATATCTGGGCACTGAAGAAGTGAGACTATTTCGAACGACGCAATGAGAGAGAGAATATGTAGGGAGTATTACAGAAGAGTGAGACTTGTCCTGCAATTCGCTTTGAACTGCAGGAATACAATATCAGCAACAGGTAGGTTGGTGGTGCCTGTGGCCGAAACCGTTTGATAGATAGATTTATTGAAGTTCTCTTTGAGCTAATGCTCGGTTAGGAAAAACATGATTACAATTATGTGGGTATCTGGGCTGTCCGGCTGACGCCGCGTCGAAGGCTGAGTTGCCGACGTACGTAGTTAACGTCGACAACTACGTACTAAACTACGAGGACGTAGTTAACGCTCGCGCAACTCAGCCTTCGAGCCGGCCGTCACCCGGACAGCCCAGATCACCCACATTGACGCTGGCCGCGGAAGCCTACGACTTCATGATTACAATTAGAATTAGAACAATTACAAAACTTTTACAGACTGTCACAATTAGAATTACGTTTCGCTCTGTGGATTGTAGTGAGCAAGAAATTAAGAAGAACCTCATATCAAAGAGTTCGGATTGGTGCGTTTTATTGTAAAAATACTATTGTGTCGTCTTTAAACATTGTTTATACTTTTACACCCTATTGATCTAAAACTATTTTATTTCCCTACGAAGCAAGTTACTTTCAAACCCTCTATGGATAAAGAGTTTCTTAACATCCTAAAAAGAATGGTAAACTGTGAACTTTAAGGGTATGAATAAAATAAACAATTTTTACTATTACGTACCTGGATGAAGAATGGTAGATTTTCGTACTATGGTAATAATTGCTATGTTGTGGTTGCTGCTTTGGCCACGCAGGGACGCAATTATTATTCTTGTGAGACATTTCTTGTTGGGTGTTGCTGTCTGCTTCCTCAGTCAGCTGCGTTGGTTTTATTTGTGATTCCCTGGAGACAGTTACCGTTTATTTATCTTAAAACTAGTGGCCACATTGAATTAGGCATTTAGAAATGATTTAAAAATGTGTTTATGAGTTGATATTTTGTGCTTAGTACCAGCTTGAACTGACATTTTTTTAATGAGTGTGTGTAATATTCGGAGGGCCTTCGATAAGTCCTAAAACTAGATGGCACACCAAACTAGAAGTGAAACTAGTCATGGCAGACCGAAAGTGAATTCGATTTTACTTTGATTATCTTATTCAGGATTATTTGCTGGTTCCATTTAAGATATCTTGGGAGCAGGGGCGGTGTTTCAGGAAAGGTGAGGGAGTCAGATCTCCTCTATAATATATCAGACTGTCTCAGCAAACTGTCGTACTGTCCTACTCAGAGTTTTATTCCGCAAGGTTATTTTTAAAGAAATAGTGAAGGGTGGAAAAGTCGCGTCTATCGCCTGCTGCTTCCACGAAGAATGCGATGACGTGAACGCAATGGGCGAGACCACATCCGGTTCGGCCTGTGAGGGACCACACTGTGATTGACTTTCAGGTGACGTAAACTCTCACAGGTGACGTGACTCGCTAGCGTCACGTGCGGAGACATAATACTTAATTTCGCCATCCAGAGCTTGGAGTGGTATTTATTATCAGTGGCCTCGATTAAGGGTGTCGGTATTGAAATGAGAAGATAGTTCTTTGTAGAACAGTCGAACATCGATATCTCGAAGCGTCTCCGGTGTGAAAGACTTCTTTAACTTATCAAAAATTCGAGATATCAATATAATACTATCTTTAAAAAATCTGAACTGTTTTGCATAGACACAGTTAAATGATATCGGTAAATCATAAAATCGATGATCATTAGTTATATAATGATAATTTATTCATAGATACAAATTATTGTGAAACAATAAAAATAATAAATTATTTTAAAAATAACTTTATTTAAATTAGCCCTAAGCAGAAGGTGAGTTAGAATTGTGTATATATATATATATATATATATATATATATANGATAGATAGATATTTCTTCATCCCCTGTCGAGACCTCTTATTCTGCTACCATCATGGAATCTAAAATTTCTTTGTCTGTGGAATGGTCTGATACGGTGAGTTCTGCATCGACATTAATGAAAATGTCATAGTCGTCTTTGCATGATACCAAATTTGTAAATTCTTGCCACTCGTCAGGGGTAGAAATGCTCAAGTCCTGATCTTCTTCATGTTGCAAGTCACGTCGAAAGGCTTTTCGGAAGCACTTTGTGATTGTTTCTGATTTCACATCTGTCCATGATTTTAGCAGCAACACAAGATCAAGTAAATTTAAGTCGGTTACCTGGTTGCATGATTCAAAGCATCTCTGTACTATTTTCATCTAGAAA